GCTTCAGACCAAACAGTAACGTATTATCCTAACCAACAAGACAAATAAGTCACATCTCTAGATGCACTTGTGATATCAGAATGATCCAGGTCTCAAAATGTAGCTTTTAAAGCCAGGAATTTGAAAATATACTTGTCATTTTGACCAAATTTTACTTAATCCTCATTTCAATATGATGGGTCACATATATTAAAAAACAATCAATTTCAGGAGCAAGATCCTTTATGAAGCTGAACATCAGTTTTCCTCTGACCGAGCTGCTGCCTGATGGATGATTGTTTTATTACAGCAAAACAATCTCAAATACTCAACACTAAATAAATGGCAACAGCAAATATAAAAATGTTAATGGACAAAGCAATGAATGTGCAAAATAATTATTATTTTAGGCCCCTAAAATAGAAAACTAGGACATCTAAGACTTTTTACAACCTAAGATTATTCATTTTACGACTCTTTAATACCTTACATAAACTCAAGACTAAAAGTTTATCTGTGGCAAAGGATAAAAAATAAATAAATAAATAAGATATATTAATTTCTGCTGAGGATTCCTTACAATTCAGAACAAACTATCTAGGCAAATCACACCAAGATCACAGCTCTTTTGCAAAGGCGGCCTGAAGACAACCTGTTGTAAATGTTATTTTTTTATTTTGGATTTGGGTTTAAAATGGTTTAAACCGTTTTATAAAGTGAAGGAGTTAAATCAAGATTAGTTCAGATTTCTGTTGAGTTTAAAGTGGAATTTTCCACATTTATTCTTCCTCCTAGATTGTAAACATCCAGACTAGCAGAAGAAAATTGGACCCATTGAATAAAACATTTTTGATTAAAATTAAGGAATCAAAAGCCTTTTTAAAAATTTGATAACTACATTTAAAAACATATCAGTTGGTGCGTATAGATTAGATGTTTTTAAGTTACACAAACCTGTTTTGAAGCAGTGTTAAAAAATAACTAACTTGTGAAATTTCATCACTTTGGACATTTTATTATTCATGATCAATATAAAAACAATACCTTTTGAAATTAAACCCTATTATCAATTATCTTTAAAGCATCACAACTTCAGTAGAATATTTTAGGAAAAGCAAAGTTAACTATAATCAAAATAATTAAGAGTTTCGTGACAGAATAATGATGCTAGAATTGAAAAATTAGAACACATTTTTATTCAAAATACATTGTTTCCCTTAAAATAATTAACACACGTGAAAAACAAACATAAAACTTTTCTTACAACAAAAAGCTCAGTGGAGAGGAAACAAACTGGATAAATTAATAAAATTGGAGCCAAGAGGCTGTAAACAATTAGCTTACAAAACTAAAATCTCTGTAGAAAACTGATGGCAGACTAAATGTGATGGATTCAAAAAACCCCGTTCTTTCTACGTTCCTGGAGATTTTTAATAAAACTTTTTCCATCTAAAGAACAGATTTGCTTTAGTGCTTCATCTTTGAAAACTTTTCTCTGCCTTCTTTCATGACAAACTCGTATCTTTTGCCCAGACGGCTTTCTTAGGAAATAAAATGATTTAAATCAGCTGGAACTCCAGTCCACAGGTTTTCTTATCAAGTTTCCACATTAATCCTGAACTTTGGTTCAGACGGCCCCGAGGATAATCCATCACCTTTCTGAAAGGCAGTAATAACGTTGGTTTGGAGTCGACTCGTTCTGTCATCTCACTCTTGCTTCACTGAAGGCTTGTCATCATCTTGCTCATCATCAGTGTCGAAAGACTCGTCGTCGAACCAAAGTCCAGCCAGGCCGTATTCCTGCGCGTGGACAGAGACTTCATTTGGCATCAAGTGAGGCGACCCTTCGATAAAATCAGCAAACCTGTTGAATATGAGGACAATTACTTTTAATATTGATAAAAACAATAAAAAAATCAAGAAGGGAAACGATTTAAAATTGAGGAAAATACGAGGCCACACTCTGCTGAGAGAGATGTTTGAAAAAGTGTACAGTATGGAATTATTTTGTTTTTGATTTCATATTTGAACTGTCTACACTAACACTTAGGATTAGAAAAGTATTTCAGATTTCACCGGCCTGATCTTAATTTATTCTCTGGGGCAACTAGAATAAATGTGATCATGGTACTGACACTTTTATTAAACTTTGTTTCTGTATTGTTTTACAGTAGAGCAAATATTTGAACAAAAAACTATAAAAAGTATTCAAAGCAAATTAAGATTTTACACCCTCTCCTCATTAGAAGTAACTGAGAGGTTTTAGTAGTTTTATGAGGCAAACAAAGATGATTTGAGTTAAATGGTAAACAGCCCGAACTTAAGTAGTGTTTTATCAGAAGACTGTATCTGATCTGTCCAACTTTTGAGTCAGTATTGTGGTTAGCCCTGTCACGATAACAAATTCTATTGGACAATAAATTGTCTCAGAAATTGTTGCGATAAACGATAATATTGTTGGAGACCAGTTTAAACTAATATAATGATATAACCCCCCTGTATATACAAAAGTTTACATTAAAATTTACATAGTGTAAAAAGAAAAACACTGTTGGCACTCCCACGGTGTCAGTAAACTGAAGACGCTCCTCTGGCTAAATGCTACAGAGGTTAGAGACCATGCACCTGGCAAATACCTGACACCAGACACCACTTCTCTCTATGATGAGAAGTAGAAATGAGGGAGACACAAAGAAAACAAAAAGCAGGCAGATGAAAATTATCATCATTTTAATTTATCATATGATTAATTAATTTATTGTTTACTTGTGGACAGTGATCTTATTCTTATAACTGATGTCCTGACCTATTAAACCAAGACTGAGCTGAACACGTGCTAAACATACACAGTTTAATAGGTTGTAAACAGAACAGTACAATGTTCAGAGCACCTTTTTGGGGACTGGAGCCTGGACACTGCCCTCCAGGGGCTGAACTCTGGACTGTTGCAGTATTTCCTCAGCTCCTCCAGAGCCCGCTGAGTTTCTTCCTCTCCCTCCTTCTGATACTCCTCCTCAGTCAGCAGGCGACGAGGTAATGGCTTCCAGTAAATACGCCGCATTATTTTCCTGTAAAAGCCAAGCAGATACATGGGAGCCACTTTACAAAAAGACTCCCCTTATAGATGGCTTATTAACAGTTTATAGGTGGCTTATTAATAGTTTATAGGTGCATATTAATAGTTTATAGGTGCTTATTAATAGCTTATATGTGGCTTATTAATAGTTTATAAATGGTTATTAATTCAGGGAGCCTTATTGTAAAGTGTGCACTATTTATAAGGCCTCCCTTATGACAATAATGTGGAATGACACAGGGAAAAAAGTATTGAACACATGAAGAAAGGGAGGTGTAAAAAGGCATGGAAAGCCAAGACACCAGCTGAACTCTCTCAGTAATTAGAAAGCAAGCCTGCCCCTTAGTGCAAATTAATATCAGCTGGTTCAGTCCCAAATGGTGGCCAGGTATCACACAAGAACCATCTGATGATGGGTAAAAGTAAAGAGCTCTCTCAAGACCTTCACAACCTTATTGTTGCAAAGCATAATGATGGCATCGGTTACAGAAGAATGTCTAAACTTCTGAAGGTTCCAGTGAGCACTGTTGGGGCCATAATTCAGAAGTGGAAAGAACATTATTTCACCATAAACCGACCACGACCAGGTGCTCCTCACAAGATTTCTGACAGAGGAGTGAAAAGAATTATCAGAAGAGTTGTCCAAGAGCCAAGGACCACTTGTGGAGAGCTTCAGAAAGACCTGGAATTAGCAGGTACGATTGTTTCAAAGAAAACAATAAGTAATGCACTGAACCACCATGGCCTGTATGCATGCTCACCACGCAAGACTCCACTGCTGAAGAAACAGCATGTTGAAGCTCCTTTAAAGTTTGCTGCACAACATTTAAACAAGCCTGTGTAATACTGGGAGAATATAGTCTGGTCAGATGAGACCAACATTGAACTGTTTGGATGCCAGAATACACATCATGTTTGGAGGTCAAATGGCACTGCACATCAGCCCAAAAACACCATACCAACAGTGAAGTTTGGAGGTGGGAACATCATGGCATGGGGCTGTTTTTCAGCATATGGTACTGGCAAACTTCAAATAATTGAAGGAAGGATGAGTGGAAAAATGTACAGAGACATTCTTGATAAAAATCTGCTTCCATCTACCAGGATGATGAAGATGAAACGTGGCTGGACATTTCAGCAAGACAATGAGCCCAAACACAAAGCCAAGGAAACTCTCAGTTGTTTTCAGAGAAAGAAACTAAAGCTGCTGGAATGGCCCAGCCAATCACCTGACCTGAATCCAACAGAAAATCTATGGAAAGAACTAAAGATCAGAGTTCATAGAAGAGGTCCACGAAACCTTCAAGATTTGAAGACTGTTTGTGTGGAAGAATGGGCCAAAATCACACCTGAGCAATGCATGCCACTAGTTTCTCCATACAGGAGGCGTCTTGAAGCTGTTATTGACAACAAAGGCTTTTGTACAAAGTATTAGATGAATTTCAGTAAGCGTGTTCAATTCTTTTTCCCTGTGCCATTCCACATTATTACAAATAACTTAATTTCTGGACACTTATGGTTTGATTTCTTTGTATGTATGGATCACTTGGGTTGTTACCGACATCTGGTGAAAATTTCATGTCATTAGCACCTCTAGTAATATATTTATTGAGAAAAATGGTGACGTGTTCAATACTTATTTTACCCACTGTATATATAACACCTTTAGATGTAACATGTACATGAACAGATTTGGCTCACTATTTGGCAAGAAACCAGACAGTTTTGTCTTTTTCTCATCCTTAATTAATAAACACTATAAACTATTTATAGGCCAGCTATAAGGGCAGCCTTATTGTAAAGTGGTACTAATATATGAAGTAGAAAAAAAACTCCACATTTCACAAACTCAAAGTGACTAAAAATCATAACATGAGAAACAGGACAGGTTCTCCTCTCGCTGTCCTCTGACGCCACCTACTGTTAACATTTCAGCAGCACATACCTCCACGCTGCGACTGCCAGAGACACCGGGTACTCCAGGTTTTTGGAGAACAAAGCTGCCACAATGACAGCCAAGGCAACTTGCTGAATCTGCATTCCCAAGTAAATCAGAAGGAGACCGAACAGCTGCAGCGTCCACGACAGGATGTTGATGCTTTTCTCGTCCACCAGAGGGCCGTACCGATAACAAACAGCAAAACTGACGAAGCCCACCACAGTTACATAACCTGACAAAAACACAAACAGGGATTTACACAGTGATAGCTAACACAATGCAAACAGTACTTTTTCTAAACTGATGAGGGCTCGTTTTATACTGAAGATATTATGCAACTTACAGCCATAAGAGAAAGAAAGTCTACGCTCTTACAAGTTTAGGATTTTATGTATCAAGACTCCATCCATGAACCCATCTCACAAGAAGGCGCTCGGTGACCAGAATTCATTCACTGAGTGAGTTTCTCTTAAGTCTCTGCTTCTCAGTCACTGTTCATTTTTTCAGAAAAGTTGTTCAGTGAGACACATTAGTTTGTGTTCTTTAAAGTGAAACATTATCCAAACTAGGAGTTGGAATAAAGACGTTTTTTAATGCTGCAGGGAAATTTATTTTGATACAAGCAGTGAGTATGCCAACTGGTATTAATCCCTTTAGAGTATCTTGGATATGAACTTCTTACACCCTGCTGACATTTTGGTTATGTTACACATCATACTGTTAGACTAGCTCTGTCAAAGTACTGTCAAAATTTGATACAAACATGTTTTTGTCAATAAAAATGCAAAAATAAAGAATAATTCTGGTGCCTTGAATTAAGATAAAATCACTTTTTTTATTTTCTTACTGAGATAATTGGCTATTTTAATACTTATTCTCAAAATCGAGATGAATTTGTTAGAGTTAGTTAAATCAGAAAGAAAAAAATAGTTTATAGAAAATTTGTCCTGTAGTATGCAATATAAATTATGGTGAAAAACCCTAAAGTAAGCAGATCATTCTTGAAATCAGTTTGTTCAAAAAGGCATAATGCTCAATTTAAGTAATGATTTTCTACATATCAGAGCCACTCACCTTGTAACAAGTCAAACTTTCTTAAACTAAGCATAAACAAATATTAAAATCAGGTATCAAAAGTCAATTCTGATTGTTAAAACACACAGGGTTTTTTTTTTTGGCCATTTTTGTCTAGTTTTAAAGGCACACGATAGTTATATTCGTTTGCTAGTTTTAAGAATTCTAGCCAAGCAGATTTTGCTCATCCCACTGGAAGATTATTTCCTCAAAACAAGAATATTTGATCATATTTAAGAAGGTTTGGCTTATTTCAAGTACAGGGCTCTAGACTAACCTTTTGCACTGGTTGCACCGGTGCGCCTGACATTTTGTCTTACACTGCAAAAATGTCCACCTAACCAAGTTTTAAAATCTTATATTCAGCCAAAAAATCTTTTTGATCTTGTTTTGAGGCTGATTTACTAAGCAACAACTGATTGTGTAAGAATAATAATCTTGTTTTCAGAATGTGTAAGATTATTTGTCTTGTTAGTCTGAAAATTTGACTCAAATTAAGTCAAACAATTCTGCCAATGGAGTAAGAAAATTTTACTTGGTAAGACTCTTGAAATAAGAAAAAATTGAGTCAAATCAAGAATTTCAAGAATCTTACCAAGTAAAATTTTCTTACTCCACTGGCAGAAATTTTTCACTTAA